CAAACAAACAAACAAACAAACAAACATATGATAAACTGTATTGGTAAAAATGCATTAAATTAAATCATACGTTGTGTACAGTCGTTGCAACGACACGTTCAACCCAAATCTGAAGATATCACGAGGTTAGTCCGAAATCCAAGTACTGGGCTAATAATATAATCCTCGTAGGTGTAAAAATGACGAAAAAGAAATCAAAATGCTTTAAATTTTTTGTAATGTATTAAAACCAGTAATATACACTCATTGTTTTAACAATTTGTACATGTATGCCTGATCTCCTGATCGGAATTTAGGTCTTTTGTGACCTAGGAGGGTCAGGTACTCTGAGACCTCTTCCTCCCTTCCGTACCATGATATGTTGTCCTGAACGTTGATGTTTAGTCCTACACGAGGGTCGGAGTAAACCGCACTTGCTCCGACCCCTTTCAGGGTTGTACATGCATACAAAATAAAGGTGCATGTTTTGAATCTCCCTCTCCAATGTCAGACAGAAATAGTTTTCATCATTGCAGGAACAAAATGAGTATGCTTTTCTATGTTTTTAAATACAGTCATATTTATCCACTGTCAACGCTATACGTATATATTGTAATTTTGACAGTTTTCGTTTAGAGCTAATTTTAAATGCTCAAGATGGTAGTCATCTTTCAAAATTTTATCCTGCTGTCGCAATGTTTGAAGTGATGTTTATAATGTCCCGTGTCTTTGTTTCCAACGTTGTGTATGCAACATTTGTTTTCTGTCTCTTTATCTCGCAGTTCCTTGGCTTTTCAGTTGTGTTATGTTCATTAATATTGTTGTCGTTCTGAGTATACTGAATAACCTTTTTTTTTCTAAAGCAAGAATAGCAATAAAAGCAATTTTTAGGGGACAACTTAGACCTGATATGGCAGCAGCAACTATAAAGCAGATGACGTGAATTTCTCTGGTATATGGTATATTGTTTAGCTTTTCTAAAATACTCGATACGCCGCGCAGTAGCACGTGCTTCATATTGTTCCGGTTTTTTAAATTCCGAAAACTAAGGTTCCCAAAATAGCTGCAGATGACTTAGGCTCATTTTGTAATGTCTGTGTGTGTGTGTGTGTGCGTGCGTGCATGGGAGTCCACAGAAGGGGGGGGACAATTCTTTCTTTACTCATTCAGCATATGTATATTAATTTTTTATTCAATTCACAATTTCACACTACTTCTACCCCCTCTCGGAAAAATTTCTGTGGACGCCAATATAGTGTGTGTGTGTGTTTACGTAAATACAGTTTGGTAGAGATATTTCGTTAACGATTTTATGTTTGGACTATTGAATCAAATAAAATTAAAATAGTTACATTTTCACATTCAACGTATCCTTTAGGACTAGAAATGTATATGGCAAAATCTATCCAAATCGAACAATGAAAAAAGAAAAGGTAATTGAGATAGGCCACTAACCTGCAAAACATGACTTTTATGATGTATCAGAGCCATATTAATTTTGTGCTGCGTGTTGTAGTCCTTTAAGAGTTGAAAGGAAGGAACTATGCATGTCGTTTTCCTTATTTTTTAGGGTATTATTTGTTAGTAGGAACTAAAATATCATAAAAGTTACAGCCAGCAAAATATTCGAAATCAACGGGCCTAATAATTTTTCGAAAAATCAAATGAACTGTAGATATATATATTTTTCACATTTTTCTTAAGTTGTCCATTGTGGTTCAAAATCTGAGGTGTATAAAAGTAGCATTTCAAATCCATCTTTTGTCTCCCAAAAGTCGCTGCTCAAGAAGATGAAAAATGATTACATTGTAGTTGTTCTTGGGTCAGGATGTACAATATATTATTGAAAATTATCTTGTGTAACATTGGAGTAAATAACAATTGTTGTTAAACTTAAAGTACTTATTTTGATGGGTGCCGTATGATTTAGGCGAATATAATGTAATTGACATTTAACATGGCTATCATGATGTTTACAATGATATAACACGGTGCTCATATTTTTTACTACGATAAAAAAAAACTGAAAAGTGCATCCTAATGACGATTTTTAGTAGGATATACAGCAGTCCGTATATTATAGCTGAAATATAAATTAATCACCATTATGCTATTGTTCGAAGTACGGTTGAAAGCTAAAACGTGTATGCTAAATATTGTGTTACGATAGATGGATTGAAAGTATATATATTTTTTTAAATATTCTAATGATGTCTTATATTTGGTCAAAAATATCGACAACATTACGAGAGTAATAAACTGATGATTCATTTTAATTTGATCATTATAAATTTCAAAACCTCTGTTAATTAATTCGTATTTCAATTTTACTTTGTAAACTAAGACAGTAGGACTAAAAGGTGGACCCTAAAGTCGGAGATGATAGGCTCAAGTATTTTTGAATATTCGGACTCGTAGATTTTTTTATTTTTTTATAATGAGAATTATCTTATTTTCGTTTATCTTAGGCCTCTTTTTATGCGTAATTTATTTATTTTTTATTGTCTGGCTAGTCGGAAATTAAAAATATAAATGTTACTATAAAATTCCTTGATTTTTTGCTTTACCTTGAAAGCCCTAAAAACAAAATACTTGGTTTGTACTGAAAATATCCTTTACTAAGCGTTTCAGTTACGGAATTTTTCACATTTCACTCAGTTATTTCAATGTGTCCTCATCCCACCTTGCTTACTGCTTGTAACTGTAAAACTCCAATGCTTCATGCCCGCGCACAGATGATGGATGTTTCAAAAGGCTATTATGCTCGCTACATCAGTACCTGTAATTCACAAGTCGTATTGTATTATTTTTTACTGTGAGGCTAATCACTAGTTCCTTTCCCGATAGTTTAGTATCCGGCAACTGAACTGTTTTGTGGACTATTCCTTGATTTCAGATTGATATGATATTTCGTACTCTATTCCGAGTCCGTCATCAGCTAGAATCGCCGCAAAGTTTTTAAAATACGGTTCAGATTATTGTCATTGTTTTAACAAAGTTGCTTTAGCGCATTTTACCACATGAACGGCTTCACTGTACAAATACATTAACAATAAATGTATGAAATAACTAATGTGACAGCAAACTTTTATTTGGATTAACCAAATATAGTGGAATTTGTTTTCAGCACATAATTTTGACTTGTGTCAAAATTCGTTTTGTGCTCTGCATTATTGGTTGTGTTACAGAATCTTTTAACTGTACCGGTATTTTCTGTGGCTTAGCGGAAATCTTGCTTTATACTTGTTTGTGACTGGCTAGTCCTGTTGACGTCACTATATGCGTCAGTGATTCTCCTCGTCGTCGATTGGACAGTTTCTGAATCTGTGTTCTGCTGCCTTGACATCCGGCCTCTCTAGCTTATTGAAAAGGATTTAAATAAAGTAAGGGAGGGGGTTAGGTATGTAGGGTATTGTGAAAGAGAATTATCAGCAGTTATAACGAGATGGTAGTTTATTTGTAACAGTAGAAAGTCTGCAAAAATCTGAACAGTTGAGAACTTGTAAAGTTTATTAATGATTGGCATATGTTCTGAGATTTTGATAGAACACCTCGTGTGAAGAACAGTATCCTCGCGGAGTTTGTCGTACTCACATCGTTAGTCATGTGAAGCATTCTTTGTTTAATTAAGGAGGGCATCTTTATTCAGTTAAAAGCCGTCTCGAATGCTTTATTACTTCTAGCTTTTGCTTACTGTAAATATTTACACAAAAGTTATTACAACAGAGTTGTAGAAGTTCGAATTCGTGATATGGGAACGACTTGCGATATGGTGCGTAAAATTATGTTTAAACAATTATATACCATAATATCTGTATATAAAAATAAGTAGATTTTTATACTGGTCTCGCACTGTATGTGTGTGTTTATATATATATATATACTCAGCCTATTGGGATTATTTTACAACCCTTCATGAACGATCAGGAACTAAAGACTAGGTAAAAAAATAAATATATTTTTATATGTTGTTATCATCATATATGTAAAATAGTTCTTTAAACAAACTGTGGAGTTAGCTAGGACATCCACCTTATCCCACGTGGTTTTTAATGTATACGTACAACAAAATACCTTTTCACCTTTCGATAGTGTAATCTTTTCACGCCCACCATTTTTATTTTCAGTAGATCATCTGTTCCCTACGTGTAAAATATTGAAGTTTATCATTCTATTACTATCGACAACATCTCATTCTATCAGCATGTCGCCCTGTTATAAAAATAGAACTGTCTTAATAGTACCTAGCCGGTGTTTTTCTAAGATCTTAAATTTCTGTCATCTCGCCCTATTATAGCAGATAATCATGTAACCTTCAATAAAATCACCTCTCAATCATCACTTTTGTCATTAGGAAATAAAACATCTTAACCAATCGCTATAACATAACCCTTCCACACCTAGAATTATACTAGTATCTCTTCTGAACCCTTTCCAATAAGTAATAATCCTTACTTGAGTAAAGGAACGTATTATGCTAATATAATAAGTTGACAAACAACGATTTAAAAGTGCTGAAGTGACTGAAGAAGACGGACCAATGTTATGTGTAAACATGTTGTGTGTTCTTTTAAAAATAAATCACTTCATTACACTTATAAATCGTTGTTTGTCAACATATTATTTATCCTCACATAGATAAGGTGACCTAAGCTGTACACAGTTTTCTAAGTGAGGCCTAACTAGTGTTTTTTTCTATCATATTTTCAGTAAATCGGAAAAGGATAGTAGTACCAGTAGGTTATTCAAGCTCATCATTAGGTTGGATTATAGCAGACATTTACTACTGGACATAAAAGGAATTTCTTAACGACGTACCTGGCATATAGTAATTTAGGAGCGGCTTTCAGAGAAACAAAGTGTTGGGTTTCATGATTGATAGTTACCTGTTCTATTTCACATTTCATTATCGCACCTAGTTTACAAAACGTACGACAAGTTTCGAAAGATATCAGACCAGTACTAATCAGTCTTTCTTTAAGTGTTTAGAGTAGGTTAATAGGTTGTTGTTATATTACGTATTAAATTTTAAATTCTACGTACAAAGTTAGTTGTATTACGAAGTAACTACTAACGTTTGCAATTTCTGTTCTAAAACTTTTCCAGGTCGTGTAATATTAAAATGTAAGTAACTACGTGCGATACTTAAGCCTAACGTTGACGTGATTCAAATTAATTTTTTAAAACGTGCTTAGTATATGGTCCCATGAGGTCCATCCCCGTAGGCATATTTCAAAAAATAAATACTTTTAAACTAGCACGTCTGTTTTACGAACATCAGTAAAAACTTGAAGATGTAGTACGGAAAAAAATAATATACTGTCACACATTATTTCTTAGCGATCGTTTTATTTATGCTTGTAACAAATGTGTTTTGGTTCACTGTAACTAAAACGTAATTATATCGGTTCTGGTCATTATGCAACAGATCGACCTCCATGTTAGGACAAACGTTAATCTTGACTCGTACGCATGGTTCATGATCATTTTATGTAAGCCTTAAAATTTCGTAAATATGTCAGTGTTTACAATTGTTTTGGTCGTTTTAAAATTTCAATTTTATTTTATCAAACCGTGATGTTAGCAAAGATTTTACTGGTTGACGCATATGAATCATAAAAATAAAACTGTGAAAATGAGGCTTCAGTTGGCGCAGATTTAGAATTATTTAGAACCCGTATATTTCGTTTGTTTACGAATGTTCTCTCTCTCTCTCTCTCTCTCACACACACACACACACACACACACACACACACACACACACACACACAC